CCCCAAAACCCCAAAACCCCAAAACCCCAAAACCCCAGCAAAAGTAAAGTAATAGAAATATAAATTAATCATGGAGCCAACCAACAACAATCACTATGAATTTATGAATGGGTTCTTGTAAGTAAACAAAGGACAGAAGCCCTCTCATATCCACGTAGTTATTCGTGATACCTAGTGCCCTTACTCGTTTGCATAGAGTCTTTGAACAAATTTTCACTAAATTTTAGAATAAGTTATGTACAAAGAGAAGCTCATAACTAGAAGCCTGACTTTTGTAGATAGTTTAGCTGGGAAATAGCCATAATCACAAGCTCTTCTCTATTATAGGCTTGAACAAGCCCAGGTGTTATATCTTACAAACAGCTAGCTTTAACCCAAAATCTGTTATCTTCCTAAGAATTTCCTTCTACATATCTCAAAGAACGATCTTTCTGGAGGAATTCAGAGTTTTAGTTAGTTTTATGAAGCTGGTTCAAAAGACTTATAATATTATACATGCCTTCTGGTAAGAAGAGATAGGCAATTAAGAGTCAGATTTATAGCATTTAAAAACATCTACAAATATATGTTCTTCCTACCACTTTCATTTCAGCAGAAAACTAAATTTTTTACATTAAACAGACTTTTTAGAGGTTTTAGCTGTAAAGCTCTATTTTAAGGAAATCTTATTTGAAGTATTACAGTGTTCAAGCTATTAGGCATTGTGCTTGCTGGCTTGGTGATGGCCGTGAAACTGAAGTTTCAGTGATTTTCTAAACCCAGCATTATTAAGAAGTTTTATTCTACACATAGGGATGTGGACTTTTTACATAACAGTATTAGCAAAGTTTTATCGAAATTAGATATAATAATGGCTTTTTATAGAGCAACACAAGCTGAGACGGATCAAAGCTCTGATTCTGATGATAGCTCATCAGGTACATCAGGTAAGTAAATTTGGGTGAAGATTACAATTTTGGATTTAGCGAATGGTATCACCTCTGATCACCTGAGAGCTCTAGTCACACTAGCAAATCAGAGAGAAAGAATCACAATTCCTGAAAATGAAAGACCAGGAGATAGAAGAAGGAGACATGCTGTGTTAGTCACGTTTCCAGGAATCTCAGCCCATTAACTGTGCTAGTAACCCAATGTCAAAATTTATCAAAGTTATATATCACTTATCTCAATCCATCTCTAACGATCTGGGGTTTTGGGGTTTTGGGGTTTTGGGGTTTTGGGG